AGAAAAGCCCCACAGACTGCACACACACACACACACACACACACACACACACACACAAAAGAAATGTGAATTTTGGTAATAGGAGATTCTATTCTCAAAGGAACAGAACTAGCCATCTGTAGATGGGACATACAATTTAGGGAGGTACGTTGTCTCCCTGTAGCAAAAATCAAAGATATGGCTGAGAACCTAACCAAAATAATTAGGTTTACAGATTACTATTTTTTCTTCCTCCTTCACATTGGGATGAATGACCCAACAAAGAACTTGAGTACAATATTGAGAGATTATAAGCAACTAGGCAACAAAGTTAAGGAGCTAGGAGTACAAATAGTGTTGTTATCAGTACTCCCAAAGAAAGGTCAACACCCATTGGGGGGGGGGAAAGAATTCTGGAAATAAACCATTGAATAAAGGGTTGGTGTTGCCAGAGAAAACTTTGGTTTCCTTGACCATGGACTGCATTACCTTCATAAAGGACTCTTGGCAAGAGATGGGCTGCACCTCATGACAACAGGGAGAAATGTACTTGGAAAAAGACTGGCCCAAATTATCAGAAGGGCTTTAAACTAAAGTTGAAGTAACATTGACATAGGTGTATATTACAGGCCACCCAACCAATCAGAGGAAATAGATGAACTCTTTGCCAACCAGTTAATGAATGTATGTAGGAAGCATATCACAGTAGTAATGGGAGACTTTAATGGTCCAGATATCAACTGGGAGAAACACTCTGAAGCAAGTGGGAGATCAAATATATTCCTAACCAACCTAGATGACAACTTTGCCATCCCAAAGGTAGAGGAGGGAACTAGAAGTAAAGCTATTCTGGACCTAATTCTTACTGATAGAGAAGAAGTGATAGAGGGAGTTGAAGTTGCCAGAAACTTGGGTAAAAGTGACCACGTCATACTGGAATTAAATATAATGCAAACACAAACAATAGAAAATAATCCAACCAGTGTCTTAAACTTTAAAAGAACTGGTTTTAATGAACTCAGACAGAGCCTAGAAAAGATTTCATGGATGAAAATCCTGGGAAAGTTTGAAAAATGCAATCATTAGAAGTCCAGTCCAGCACAATACCACTGAAAAAGAAAAACTAGAAATCAGCATGATCAGCAAAGAACCCTCTGACAAACTGAAAGGCAAAAAGGACAAGCACAAAAAAATGGAAAGTGGAACACTTAACTAAGCCTGATTATCAGCAGATGGCCAGAACATGCAAAAATGAAGTCAGGAGAGCAAAGGCTCAGAATGAACAAAGACTTGCAACAAAAATCAAAGATACTAAAAAAATTTCTTTCAACATATTAATAACAAGAAAAAAAGTCAAGGAAACAGTAGGTCCATTAAAGAGAGAAGATGGCAAGGAAGTAACAGGCAGTAGGGAGAAAGCCGAGCTACTTAACTCATTCTTTGCATCAGTCTTCACACAAAAAGAAAATTATAGTCCAACATATCCCCCCCCCCCCAAAAAAAAAAAACCTACTGTAAAAAGACAAATTAGAAATTAAAAAATAAGCAGGAAAATGGTAAGAGAACACCTACCTGACCTTGACAAATATAAATCACTGGGATCTGACAGATAACATCCCAGGGATTTAAAGGAAAAATCCCAGGGATTTTACATTAAGCAGTAAAAAACAAAGGTATAGGTATAGATTAAGCGAGACCTGGCTCAAAAATAGTAACTCTGAGAGGGACCTTGGAGTTCTAATGGATGATCACTTCAATATAACCCAGCAGTGTGCAGCAGCAGCCAAAAAGATAATACAGTCCTGGGTTGTATAAACAGAGGCATAGAATCCAGATCACGTGAAATATTAGTATGCTTTATAAAACCCTAGTAAGACCACATCTGGAATACTGCAATCAATATTGGTCATACTATAAAAAATGTTGAGACTTTGGACAAAGTTCCGAGAAGAGCAGTTAAGATGATCAAAGGCCTGGAGACTAAAACGTATGAAGAAGGGCTGCAGGATTTGGGTTTGGCTAGTCTAAAGAAAAGAATTACGGTGACATGATAGCAGTATTCCAGTATTTGAGAAGCTGCCACAAAGAAGAGGGGGTCAAATTATTCTCCAAAGCACCAGAGGCCAGGAGAAGAAATAATGTTTGGAAACTAATCAAAGAGAGAAGCAACTTGGAATTAAGGAGAAGCTTCCTAACAGTGAGGACAATTAACCAGTGAAACAGCTTGCCTCCAGAAATTGTGGGTGCTCCATCACTGGTTGTTTTTAAGAAGACAGTTATCTGAAATGGTATAGGGTCTCCTGCTTGAGCAGGGAATTGGACTAGAAGATCTCCAAGAACCCTTGCAGCTCATTCTATTCTAAAACATCTGAAACTTCTCTTCCCTTTTGGAGGTTAGTCTAAATTAACCACTCAAATAGTTCAAATTAAAAGAAAATTATTTAAGTAATGCCATATTCACAACTGTTTTAATAGGGATAGGGCAATTGAAAATAAAACAAAAAATGTTGGGGATTGATGGTATTCAGAATGCAAAAAATAATCTGATTTCAACAATTCTTATTACTACCTAATGTCTTTGGTCTGCTAAAATCACCATTTTGAGACTGAGTTTGCATAGTTTGTGACTCAAATACATTATTACAATTTTTATTTTTCTTCCCTCTTTTTGTAACTTCTTGCTGCATTAATAATTCTCCCATGAGCTGTTCAGAGCATCCAGTAGTGGGAGGTGCTTCAGTCTCTGCATGTCTAGGCTGGGCTTAATTTGTGGAACGCTCCTCTTCCACGGGACTCTCCCCAGCGTTCCCCAGTTTTGGCTCAGCCTCGTTGAGGAGAGGCAGTGCTTTTTGTTCTTTTAGCCTCCAAATCACATTACAACCTCCCGACGTTAGCTCTCTCCATCTGGCCGTCGGAGATCGTTTGCATTTTTGGGCAGCGCCGTTTCATGCCCCGAAGCGGCAGGCGGCTTCGGCATCGCTCCGAGCCCCCCCTCAACTGCTTGTTCTACCCCCTGCCATTGTGATTCCGCATTGCCTTTTTCTACATCGGCAATAGCGGCGTGGGTGTTTTCACCTTCATCCAAGTCGTATCGTTTGATTTTTTTCCCCTCAGAATGCCATCTTGGTGTGGAAAGCATAAAAGCTTAATTCTTTCCACCCCCTTTCATGTATTCTAAATTTATTCTGTTTACTGTTACACTCGTAGTTATCTGATACAAAGCTTGTCAAGGATTAACATAGGAGAAAACTCACTCAAGCAATTTTAGAGTCTTCTAAAATCTGGATTTATCTTTATAACAATAAAGACAGTATTTCTTAATTTTGGACCTGAAAACTATAATCATTCTGTAATTAGAATCAAATGTCTTGACATAATGTACAAGGAAGAAAAGATGCAGTTGTGATAGAGACATTAAAAACCTCTCTGTAATGATGTGGTACTGCACCTTCATTGCTTGTATACTCTGCTCTCCACAGTTTTCTGTAGTTTTCCTTGAAGGGCGGAAGTCACTTTATAGGGTTATAAGCAGAGGAGAATGATACAGCGTTAGTTTTTAACAGAATTTTATCTGAAGAAAGGTAGGGTACTTCAATAACAGTTAATCAGATATCTAATTGAAAGTTCAAAAATGGAGAAGATAATTTCCTTTGCTGGAATAATCCTCAGGAAATTCTGACTCATTTGTTTTCCCCAAATAATTGAATTTAATTTAGACTAGGATATCTGCAAACACTGTAGCACAGTGATGGCTAACCTTTTCGGCACCAAATGCCCAAAGCGTGCATGTGCATGCGCATCCCCAAAATGCAATGCACCCCCCCCACGCATGCACGTGCGACCCTCTGCATGCACCCCACCCCTGCATGCCCCCCATATATGCTCAGCAGAGACCTGAAGGCCAGCTGGCAGGTGGGAGGCATGTGCATATGCGCAGCAGAGCTGAGCTGGGGTAACTGCTCATGTGCTCACAGAGAGGGCTCTGCATGCCACCTTTGGCACGCATGCCATAGGTTCGCCATCACGACTGTAGCAGAAAGACACAATTCCAATATTTGTATGTCATGTAAATGGTATAATCAAAAGCCTGTTTTCTTCTGTTGACTGTTTCTCATTGCAATTATGGTGATACTCTTAATGATTGTCTCACAAATTCATTTCATGTTTATAATATATATGTATATGATATGATAATATATCAACTGAATTTAATTCAACTATGTATTCTAGTTAAACAACTATGTATTGTTCTTTATGAGATAAATAATATCCTTTTGTCTATTTGATAAATTTTCTTTCTTAGGTTTCCTCCTTACATATCACCCTGTTCTTTACATTCATCTTCTAGTTATCCCTCCTATTTCCTGATAGCCCTTTTGTTAGTCATTTGTTCTATTTTGAGTTTTAATTTGATTTGATCTTTCTTGTACTATTTCATATTATTCTGCCTCTTTTCTCGGGTGTTTTTGTAAGCTTTTAAATTTTTGACTTCCTATTTGGGTAGCTTATTCAAAAACAGAGGTCTTAATTCTTTGATTATCGTGATACTTTCCTAGGGAAGTATTTTTTATTCTTTTACTTCTTTTCCTTTTCTCCTCATTTTTATTGGAAGAAAATGTTTTTTTCCCCCTCTCACTTTCTTTAATTTTTGTTTAATTGTATTGTGTTAGTATATTGTGGCTGGGAACCAGTAGATTCTCTTTTCTGTTCATGTGCAGCACTTGCTGCTTATAAAATGTCTGGATTTTATTACTTATAAGTCTATTTTTAGTGAACTCTGGATTAGAGTTCAAAATTATTTTCTGATACTTCTTTTGCTTGCATTCTTCCCTTTCCCTTCTTCCATTTCAAAACTTTTTAATTTTTATTTGGTACTTAGTAATTTTAATTATTTTCTAAACAATATATGATGTTGATACAATGTATGACTGTGTATATGATTTAACTAAACTATTGGGAAATATAAAGCTTGTCAGTGGTCCAGAAGTTGTTTTTAATGTGATTGCTAATTTTTAATTCAGGATAAATAACAAGATCATGAACATTCTGCCTGAAGAACTGAAACTATTTCAATCCCTCGAAACTTTAGATCTCAGTAACAACAATATTTCTGTGCTTGAGATGGGGTCATTTCCTCCACTGGTGCTCAAAAACCTGTAAGTTAAGTTCAAGCTTTCATTTCATCCAAAATTTTCTTTGAAAAAACTTTAATGTAATCAGGGAACTCTGGTATCCGAAGAGATTTATAGTGATTCACAAAAAGGTCTGTGGGTATGGATTCTCCACTGGGCTTTTCCTTTCTTTTCCTTTTCCTTTCCTTTCCTTTCCTTTCCTTTCCTTTCCTTTCCTTTCCTTTCCTTTCCTTT